CTACAAGGAATTAGAATCTCAGTTACCGAAACCCATTTACATCATGAACTTGGAAGGCCAAAAAGAAAGAAGAAAACGTTAATTAAACATCATAAGAGTGCAGCTAAAAAAGAAGTCAACAAGAATGACCTGATCAAAGTCTGAGCCTCCTCGATGTTATTAAAGTTTAGTTTGGTGATTACTGGTCCACTTACAACCTAATTAACTGCTTCTTTTCAGTTTAAATAGTAATCCAATACGATTTGGAAGTCCAAAACCGTGTGAGCCGTAAACAAACAGGATTGTTCATGGAGTCCGACGACAAAACAATTCCATCCCAGAAAGCCATGACAGTGAAGTTTTAGATTAGAAAGTCCATCTGGTATAATGCACTTAATTTCCCAATGGTCCATCAACCCTAGTTAGTAAATTCGCGTTTTATACGCGAATTTACGGCTAGCCGTATAATTCCCGTATAAACGCGAATTCACGTATTTTATTAGGGCTGCCGTATAATTTGCGAATTATATACCCTATCCGTATAATTCGCGAATTATACCCGAATTATTGCCGAATTTTGCAGACAAAAAAATAATTACTGATAAGGCAAAACGACGTCGTTTTGTTGGGGTTTGACTAAAATAAAAAAAATCTCCTTCTCCTCTTTCTCGGTTCTCTCTTCCACAGTCTTCATCTCTTCTTCAAATCTTCAACAATTCAACTCTTTTTCTTCATCTCTTGACTCTGAGCTTGATCTCTTCTTCTCTTCTCTTTTAATTTTACTCTCTTCTCCAAGCTTTAAGTCCAAGACTTCAACTCTTCAAGCCTCAAGCTACACACTTCTTCTCTTCTCTTTTTACTCTCTTTGAATCTTGTATGTTGGTGATTGTTTGTGTTTGTGTTGGTGTGTGAGTAGTAGTAATAGGGGCTGGTGGATTGATGGATTTGTTATGTTTGTGGATTGATAGATTTGTTTGAAACATGTTTGATGAAATGCTTGTGAGAGTTATATTTGGTATCTGTTTTAACATAATTTCATTTAGTTCTGTTGTTTTGTGTTGTATGGGTCAAAATGAAAAGACTAAAGATCATCTATGAAAGCAAAAGGTAAGGCAAAACTGCAAAAAAAGCATGAATTCATAAAATAATATTGTCGGCTTGGATTTGGAATTGGCAGATACTTAAAGAAGAAGAAAAAAACAACAAACCATCAGTTTACAACCAACGCCAACTGCAAATTGTAAACCCATGTGCACTTTGTCATGTTTTTAGATTTCATAACACTATTATTATTTGACCTTTGAATGTATTATCCAATAAATTCAGAAAATAAAACAATTATTAATTGGAATCCAAACTTTGATGCGTAGCTATAAAATTAAGGATAAAAATACTAGTCTTAGTTATTGTTCAAATATACTTTAAATTAAAAGGAAAATAAATTGTAGGGTCGACCACAATGGATTATTTAAATGGGGATGTTTGAAAAGTGCAAATCAAGAGTGCTATTGTCGTATTTTTCAAAACGTATTATTGACAATGTGTCGTATTAAACCCGTATATTCCGAACGTATTTTTTCCGTATCCGATTTTATGACCGAATTTTTACAAACGTATTTTTCACCATTTGCCTATACATACCCGTAAAATTCCCGTACCGTTTTTTTGCCGTACCCGTATTACTAACTAGGCCATCACTAAGCCAGAAGTTTAATAAACTGAAAGAAACTAATGTTTCCAATTCTAAGTCTCCAACCAAACACCTACTTAGAAACTGCTAAGATTGTGTCGTTGCCGTGCGTTGCCAACAAGGTGGACGTGGATTTGGAATGGGAATGTTTGTGGAATTACAAGTCAATTAGTCAAGCAAGAAAGACATTCCAGCACAGTTTCCACATTTCATCTCGCTTAATAATGACGGACGATCAACAATAAAAACACTACTTATAATTTGTCATTTTGATTAACCCTGCAAAAATTATTCGAACTTTAAAAGATACCTTTCTATTCGATTTACATTTTTACCTACGATTAGTTTTAATGGCAGAAATTGACAATAATGGAGGTAATTGTGTAATATGCAAAATGTTTGGACCTACTTAACTTCTAAAGTTGGGGGTGGTAAATGATTTTACTCATAAGACTATTGAATGAATTAGACCCGTTATTTTTGATAATTGTTTGGTTTTGAAAGATTTAATAGATAAATAGATTTTTTTTTTTCCCTTTGATCATAAAAATAACTCAATTTTTTTTTTTTTTAAATTAAAAATCCTAACCCTATTATTCTTCACTCTTTATTGATCCAACTTCAAAAATAGATGAATTCAAGAGGGTGCTATTCTTATCAAGTTCCAAAGATTTCAATTCTATTTTAAGTATTTTTGTATTATAATCTTAAAAAAATATTCATGAAAGGAGAAATTAAGCACCTATATGTTTCAAATCGAAAGCAACAATATAATTACTACTTAAAATTTCTTCAAAGAAGAGGAAATGATTAGAAAGAAACTTGTAGTTCTAAAAGCCAAAAAAATTCAATAAGTACTATGAACACCAAAGTTTTACACCGAAATTTTGCATCGAATAACGTGTCACCTGAGTAAGCACAACCACGTAGCACATTAACAAATATTTCGTGAATGAACAGTCATCCATCAAACATGGACGAGCGTCCATGATTATTGGACATCCGTTCATTTTAAATGGACTCATGTCCATGCAAAAATAACAATGGACTCCCGTCCATATTATATAGATGGGAGTCTATTTAATATGGATGGGCATCCACCTAGAATGGATCCTTGTCTATACCTTTTTAGCTCGAGGTTGTACATCATTTCCTGTCAGGGGATTGATTTTTGAGCAAATCTATGCTTCTAGCACTGATAATTATCTAGAGGAAAGCATTCACAATACGATGGAACCTAGAGATAGAGTTGCAAGGAGAGCTTCATACTGGTCAAGTAAAGGACATAGCAATCCTGTTGTGCTTGAGACACTGATATATAAATTGGCTAGAGATCTGTGTGTTATTTCTGAAATCAACATGCAACCTTTCCACGGCATCTACATCTCAAGTTTCAGCCAGTGAAGCTTCATCATTGATAGATAGCCAATTTGACGCCGTTCCACCAAGCTTCTTTGATTTTCTCGTGGTAGGAGCCACACGAAGTTAAGAAGGAATGAAAAGCTAAAAAAAGTTCATTTCAAGGAATCATCAAAAGAAGACTTTGGCTCTGTTTGTTTCACTTTTTTTGTATTTTTTAGAAAAGTTTTTTAAAAAAATTAAAAAAAGTTGAATTAGGCAGGTATTACGATGTAGGATTTGGAATTTAATAAAAATACCCCCTATGTTTGTTTATTTACTAAACACCCCTATAATAAAACTTTGAAAGTTAACAAAAACACTCCCAACCCACCCATTGAATAATCACAGCCAGCCACCACTGTCGGAGGGTGGCCGGAGTCGCCGTATCGACGCATGACCAGCTGGATCTTGCCGGTTGTGCGTCGATATGGCCTTTGCCGACCAGATCCACGGTGGATTTGGCCGGCAAAGGCCAGATCATTTGCTCGTCAGTCGGTAGTGCGTCATTATATCAGATTCCGGCCAACTTCCGACAGTGGTGGCCAGAATCTGGTATAATGTGGGTTTAGAGGTGTTTTTGCAATTTCGAAAAAAAATATTTAGGGGTACTTAATTAAATTAACAAATTTAGGAGGTTTAAAAAAGTTGAATAATATTGGATAATATTGTGAGTTTTTTGGCATTTTACTGTTTAACTTTTTTGGGAATACTAATAATAGTATTCCCAAAAACCAACCAAACGGAGCCTTTAATATTGATGCACTTCATGATGGGTGATAAGCCATTAGAGGTAGAAGAGAAAGGATTTTTGTTTCAGTTGGTGACAGTGCATTAGATTTTTTTTTTTTTTTTTTTCTAATAGGCACTCTCGTCCAGTCCATTATTTTTGTTTTAAAAATTTTTTAATTTAAACTATAAACGGACATCTATTCTGCGTGAACTAGACGTTCATGGTAAATGAACTGTTATCCATATAATATAGACGAGAGTCCATTGTTATTTTCGCATGGACGAAAGTCCATTTAAAATAAATGGTCGTCTAATAATCATGAACGCTCGTCTATATTTAATAGATGATCGTTCATTTACGGAATATTTATTAATGTACTACGTGACTGCGTCTACTTATGTGACACGTCATTCGATACAAAATGTTGGTATAAAACTTCGGTGTCCGTAGCATTATTGAAAAAATTAATCAACAAGTTCTAGTGACATAAAACTTAATACATGCACCAAAGTAAAAGAGAAATATGATATTGGCTTGATATAAATGACGGAGAATATATAATTGATGGAGGATAATATTTAAAGTGGAAATATAAACAAAAAGATTATTTTGTAAATGGGTGAGGTTTCTTTAGATATTTCTGTTTATTTAAAAATCTTAATAGGGTAAATTTAGAATTGGGTCAACAAAGATAAAAAGTGGGGTGCCAATAGCATCATTACTCAAAATAAAATACTAGTATTAACAAAAATTACAAAACAATAGTGTACCAACATACACATATTTGATTGTAGGAGCTATCAACCACAAGAACTACGTGCTCTTCCAACATTTTTACAGCTGAGTAGCCAATAAAAAACTTCATATTCTACTTACAAAACTATATTTAATTTTTATTTTTATTTCCAAATTATGGGTAAAGGAGGTGGTAGCTAAAACGAAGTAAATAGTTCATCAATGAAAGATAGCATGGCTTCAGTCTCTTCTTTATCTCTTTCACATTATTTAATATGCCCCACAATCAAACAGGATGAACATTTATGGGTTGAATACTGTAGCAATGTATCTACAGCCTGCAACTCATCAATGACTCAGGCCTCTGCCAAGAAATGATATCATAAATGGGGCATTTGCCCTTACTCAGAAGCAATGGCTTTCATATGTACCTTCTGTTCATGGATTTCATTAGCCTCCTAGTAGTTGCATATCTTGTGTTACTTCACCTACCACTCTTTGTAATTAGATTATGCTGCTTCACACTTTCGGTGTACAGGATCCGGGTTACCGATGGATCTCATTCTTGGAATCCTCCTGCAATATTAGATATGTAGCATTCATAGCTTATATTGATAAGCAGAGATATAAGCTGAGAATAAATCAAGACGTTGAATCACTGACACGGTCATAATGCAGGTTATATTTTCCCTCTTTTCTAGCTACGCAGAAGCAATTCACCATACAGGAAATGCTCACTGTTCTATATCAATTCAATTACTTTCATTTTAGGTAATTCAACTTACAGCAGGAGCTAGTTCTAAGCAACTTCTTTTGGTTGTGCTAGACACGTGCATTTTATCTTGAAGGAAACAATCATCCAGGCTTTCATTAACCACAGAAGTCCATTTGGGCATTAATTAGTTTTTCTTTTTGGTAATCTAGAAATCCCCGACCTCACTTTGCAAACCCGAGTTTAAAGTGAAATCCTTGCCAAACTATACAATCTTTGAGAAGTGAGAAACAATGCATTTGACCATGTAGGTGCCCATGAGGGGAGTCAAACCCCATTAGGCAGTAATAATTAATTTGACATATTAGTAATTAGGTAGAACTTCCTTGTAGAATGGCTTGTAAAGATCCCCAGAGAATATTTAAAGAGTTTTAAGTCAAAGGAGAATTTAGACAAGAACAAGTTGGTTGCACATGTAAACTTTTTTACAATTCTAAGATGATTGATAGCTTCTAGAAGTTGTGAAACACAAAAGTTTGTCACACATTTTGAAAAGCTAGCATGTTTGAAGTGATCACCAACTATAATGCAGAATAGACATAAGCCTCAGTTTTGATGGCGGAGGACCTTGCAGCTTCATCTGCCACCAATGACTAAAACTTAATGCTAATAGTATTTACCAGAACTTAAAACTATAGTCCATTTTAATTACACAGAAAGATTCGAAATTGAAATAATTAAAATCGAAAGATGATTAGCATAACAATGAAAATAAAGGATCGTTTTAAACATTATTCACGTTAACAACACTGACAAAACATTGGCTGGGAACAGACAAACATAAATTCAACCCAAAATGCCCACACCAGGGTAATTTCATCTACAACTCACTATGTGAGATGTATGTTTCTAGAGTAATAATGATGAAACTTTACTTGGTATCAGAATCACTTGTAATATAGAAGTACATGGATTTAAGGCATACCTTATCTAAAGAGCCTTTAGTTATTCTTTGTCCATGATGTATAGCTGTTCATTGTTGTGGCTTTGACATTAGGACTCTGTCTTACTGTCTTTATCTCTGCTCCCTTATTCTCCTGTGTTAAGCACAGGTATTCAGAAATGCCATTTATTTGGATTTTATAGTTTTGAAAATCATTTACATCTAATGACAGTTCACTATATGATACTTTGTAAAGAGCTATATTGGACTGTAATGAGTATATGCAACCATCTTAATTGACAACAAAGATTCCAATGCATGTTCTCACTAAGAAAAATAGTGAGGTATAAATATACCTTCGATTTTGTGTGAAGGTGAGTTCTGTTTGCCTCTCTAGCATAAGATTTTTTTTCCTCCAGTTTCTTGGAGAACTGAATTGAATTGATGAAATTAGATAATAACATAAATGGTTAAAAGAAAGCAACATTTCATACTTCAAAAGAACTTTGTGTTATTGATTGATTTGGAGAGGGAGAGAGAGAGAAGGGGAAGTTAAAATGGATACCTCTCCTCTCTTCTCTGCACTTTCATTCCTTTTCATGGGTAAAGAAGATGAAGCAGCCTTACCATGTTTTTTCTCCACGTCACCTACTTTGAATGACCTATTTCAAACCAACCAATGCAAAAATTAAGCTCACCGAAAAAGATAAATGAAATTATTGAGTATCAGAAAAATGTCAGATCTCGTCACTAAATGAAATTTTAAACCATTTCTTTAGAACAAAATCATAAAAGTGATGCCATGATCAGTAGGTTATGCTTAGTTTATGCATAAGAAAAATATAGTGCAGCAGCCAGGCCATTATTTATATAAATAAGTTTCTATTGCTCTTCATTCACCTCTCTAACTCAGCACCTCCTAAAGTTATCTTCCATATTCTATTGCTAGTCTGAAAATAATACATGATAGTGAAGATACTCTCATATAAATAATAATGCACTACTGATATGCTGCACGTTTTGGATGCATACAAGTAACACACCTATCACTAATTGACACAAAAGTATGAGTCTAATGTTGTATAAATCCATTAGCAGACAAGGAGCAAATCCAAAAGTTTACCCTCCATTCTCTTTTCGTGGAGTCATGAAAGCTGAAACCCTTGGTTCTGTCCCCTTTGCTGGCACCGGCTGAAGAAATGGAAGCAGAAGTTACATAAAGATTTGACATTTCACAAAGCCAATAAGAGAATTGAATGGAAGAAACAGGAGAGATGTCAAAAGGCCTCTTCACAAGGTTAAACATAATACAATGACAAACCTGCTTCGGTGCCAGAGATTGATCTTCACCAGCAGATTTCAATTGATTGTATCTGTTCTGAAATGTTTTGAATGCTCGTTTAACAATGTCCTTATCACCCATACTCTCCATAATCAAAGATTTTCTAGTTGTGGTAACAGAAGTTGGATCATGATACGATGGACCCAAACTAAGGGACATGTGCAAGGACTTAGGAGCTAATTTCTTGCTTTCTCCTCCAGAAGGATTCTTTGACTTTGACAAAGATGAACTGTTTCCTATCCTTGCTGAAGACATTGAAGAATAATTTGGAGTAGAAGCCAATGTTGGCTTTGACACTCTTGCCTTACTTACAGATGAAGCCTTAGTTATAGGCGATGCCTTAGTAATGGGTGACGCCTTAATTATGGGTGATGCCTTAGTTATGGATGATGCCTTATCTATAGATGGTGCCTTAGATACTGGTGATGCCTTGGCTATAGGCGATGCCTTGGCTATAGGCGATGCCTTGGCCATAGATGATGCCTTAGTAACAGGTGATGCCTTAGCTGTAGGTGATGCCTTAGCTAGGGATGATGGTTTGGATACTGCCAATTCTGGTTTCTTCTTTGCCCTTGTGATGTTTCTCTCCTTATTCATCAGAGTAATCTAGAAGCAGAAAAATTCACCCAAAAAAAAAATCAACCATGCAACTAAATTCCACAGAAACATAAAATAATTTAGAGTTAAGCTGTCCTATTAAAACCGTTATGAGATAAAATAAATCTGACCATATGAGATTCCTTTGAACGATCGAAATTCACATTTTCTTCTATATCAGTTGAAGTGTTTTCCATCTCCTTTTGCTGCAACTTCTTTACAGCTTGCACCCCCGCGGAAGTATTTTTCACTTCTTCTTTCACCATAACATGTACATCTTCTTCTGATTTGTCCGACATAGGACTTTCTAATTTTCTTTCAGCTTCCTCTTTCCTTTCCTCAATTGATGAACTCGGAAACCCTATTGTAACTGCAGCATCATTACTTGGCTCATTAAAAAGGGTTCCACACACTTCATTAGCCAAGCTGGTTCCCTGGTTCACAACTTCAGCAGAAGTCTGGCACTCAGATGAATCAGATTCTGACTTAGTATTGGAATTATCTGCAATCAGATCTCCACAAGTTTGATCATTCGATCTCAACAAATCCTTCTCCATTTGCTTCTCTTGATCCAGTAACTCAGCCTTCCTAGCAGCAATCTTCTTGTAATGAGCTTCAAAATAAGCGGCTTTCTGAGCTACTGATCCCGGCGTTGCACACCTCTCAACTTCTTCCAAGTATTTATTGGGTGAAAAAGATGACCATTTCTCCCAAGACAGTGAATCATTCGCAAATCTACCAAATGAAACCGACACTTCCAGGACAGGATTTGAGGGAGCTGTCTCTCCCATCTGTTTACATAACATAAACGCCAAAATCTAAACATACTCTCAAGTGATAACCAAGACAACTCATAACAACACAAACATCACAGGAATTTTACAATCAGGAACTCCAAAACCTTAAATAATATATTCAAAAAACAATAATGGGAAATGAAATATTTTATTTATTTATTTTAACTCATTAAAAGGACAAAAGCTGTACCTCATCTTCATGATTTGAAGCGTCCACTATTGATTCGCCCATATATTCTGAGTAGCAGGGGACTGGAATTACCACAAAACTACCACACCAAGACACAAAATTTGTACAACGTGACCTGTAACTGGCATGGGCATGAAATCAATCTTTTGGATCAAACAAAAAAGAGCTGAATACAATGAAGACAAAAAGAAGACTTGTAAAAGAATGCAATGAATGAATGAAGAAGAAAGATAAACAAGGCATGTGCTTGTGATTTGCTCCATCTACTATTATCACTTCCCCACCTTTTTACAGCAATGAAAACCTTTGTCAGTTTCTATTGCTTCTGGTTCTGGAAACCCTTGAAAAGATAATAATAAACTCGGCCATACTAAGGAGAAAAGTTAACCTACCCACCCACATTAGATTTCCAATGCAATCATATTTAATCTTTTAACAAATTTTCACAGTTAGTAAAGAATAAAAAGGTGTGATTTTTAATGAATCGTCAAGGATTAGTTGGATCAAATTTGGAGATTCAAAGTGGGTACATTGATTAACAACTGTAATTGTTTATTATTATTTCTTAAAATTGGATTTCTCAGTCAACAAGTCAAACACAGAGACTGAAGGCCCCACTCAGTTATTATTATCCACCATTTGTAGGGCATCTTCCTACCGTAGGATTAAATTACCTCAACTAGTCACATCATTGGAGTTAAATCCAAGTTGGTCCCTAAGCTATGGCCTAAGGTACAGTAAAATCTGACAGTAAATTAAGGTCCTTGTTATGGTAGGTATCATTTTTTTTTTTTTTGTAAATATTTAAAATACCCTTAATCTGTTAATTTTTTATTTTCTTATAATTAATGGAAATTTTCTAGGCTGCGTTTGTTTCAGTTTTGGGAATACTACTTTTAGTATTCCCAAAAAAGTTAAACAGTAAAATACCCAAAAACTCAGATTTTTGAGAATACTACTCCCAATATTATTCAACTTTTTTTAAACCCCTTAAATTTGATAATTTAATTAAATACCCCTAAATATTTTTTTTTAAATTACAAAAACACCCCAATAATCCACATTTACCAGATTCCGGCCACCACCACCGGAAAATGGCCGGAATCTGGTAGGATGGCGCACTACCGACTGAATCTGGCCGGTAGTGAGCCGATCTGGCCGGAAAAGGTCATAGCGACGCATGACCGGCAAGATCCAACCGGTCATGCGGCCATACGGCGACTCCGGCCACCTCCGATGGTGGTCGCCGGCTGGGGGTGTTTGAGGGTGGATTAGGGGTATTTTTGTTAACTTTTAATGTTTTATTATAGGGGGTATTTTGTAAAAAAACAAACATAAAGGGTATTTTATTAATTTATAAATTCTACATCGTAATACCCGCCCAATTCAACTTTTTTTTAACTTTTTTCAAAAAACTTTTCCCAAAACCCCCAAATTTTGAACCAAACGGAGCCCTAAATTTTTAAAAACATTCTCAGTTAGCAGACTTTTTTTTAATAACTTTTAATTTTTAAATTCATTTACTTAAGAAAATATTAGGGGTATTTCAGACTTTTACCAAAAAAATTAAAAAGCTACTACCTTACCTTACATTTTACAAGGCCCTAATTGTTGCTTCAGATTCTACTGTACCATTCTGATAGTAGGCCAAACATGAAGGACCACAATGGATTTAACTCCACATTATTAACTTGGATATGTCAAAATGGGGAACAACGATGTCGTTTTTTAAGGATATAATAACCTCTGTTATTATAGTACTGTATCCTTTTTAATTCTGGGGTTGTTAAATATTATAAGCACATATTTCACTAAATAAAATGATTAAAGTGGATAGATTTTTATTGAAAGTGCTGTTGCTTTAAGGTCAATCGACAAAGTAGTTCGTCTTTTTGCTAACTAAACATACATCAATCAATCTCTCTCTGTGGGGGCTCTGATTGTTTCTTCTTTAACTTGCCTTGTTTTTCCCTCCTCCAATGTCCCTTAAGCTACTCAATCACCTTATTTTGCACATTAATTTTTTTTTTTTTTTTTCAACTCTTCGAAAAACATTTCTATTCACCATCAACTGTATATATAACTTTAGCTAGCTTATTGATGATATTCACATCCCAAAACCAAAATTTCTAGCCATGCTACACTTATTCCTTTGTTGTCTAGCTCTTTTATTGAGCCCGGCTAAACCAGACCCAGATCCATTACAAGATTACTGTGTTGCAGACAATAAAACTCCCCAATCTGTTTTCATTAATGGTGTGCCATGTATTAATCCAAATTTAGCAAGTGCTTCTCATTTCAAAACTTCAGTTTTAGGCAAACCTGCCAAGACCAGTGGAAATCCATTCGGATTCAATGTGACACTCACCGGTGTTGCAAATTTGCCCGGGGTCAACACCATGGGCCTGATTATGGTCCGAGGTGACATAGCGGGTAATGGGCTAATCCCGCCCCACTCACACCCACGGGCCTCAGAAGTAACCATATGTCTTACGGGCAGTGTTCTTGTGGGCTTTGTGGACACGTCAAGGCGCTTATACACACAGCAACTTCGTCCAGGTGAATCGTTTGTGTTCCCGAAAGGATTGATTCATTTTCTATTCAATCTCGACTCATCCAACCCAGCACTGGTCTTATCTGGGCTTAACAGCCAAAACCCTGGAACCCAAATAACTTCTTTGGCCGCATTTACATCCAATCCATTGATTCCTGACGAAGTTTTGAGGAAAGCATTTCAAATCAACGGCCAAGATATTGCCAAGATTCATAAAAACCTTGGAGGGTAATCATACGTTTGGAGAGAGTTTGTTTAATGATAATTATTGTGTAATTCATACAACTATTTATTATTGAAATCATGTAGTTGGGGTTGGGGTGATGCCTGATGTATGTAGAGAGTTGGGTTTGGATTAGGGATAAATAAGATAACAAGGGTAATCTTCGTTTATTTTGCAAGATTCATGTGTTTGGTTTATTTTGCAAGATTTATATGTTTGGTTTGCAAGTAATAAAATATTACCATAATCTTTTATTGTAAATAGTGTTTATGTTGGTAATGTGGTGAATAATCTTATTACCTTATTAGAGGGTGTTCTTAAAACATTACTAAGGTAATATGATTTTTCTAGCCATTTTGCCCTTAAGTAAAAACTATTTCGGACACAATTGCCCTCAAATGTCTATCAAATAACAATTACCCAGCCCCCCTACATCTGAGCAATTAGCTAAAACACCACAACCATAAAAAAGTTTAAAAATTAACAAAATACCCTCAGCCACCCAACACCACTGTCGGGGGTGAATCACCACCGCCGGCCACCGACGTCGGTTGCTATAATGGTGCACAACCAGCGGGATCTAGCCGATCATGCATGGGAAACGGCCAGATCTGATGTTTCTATAGCTGTGAAATGACCCTTTTTCGGCCATGGATTTGTGATCCATGGCCATTTTCGGCTTTGCCGGTACACGGCCGACCATATATGACCAGTCCTGATCATTCCGTCAACTATCGACAGTGGCCGGCGGTAGTGGTTGGCTGCTAGCAGTAGCTTGGGGTGGGTGGGGGTGATTTTGCCATAAATTAAAGTTTTATATGGCTAGGGTGTTTTAGTAAAATTTTAAATGTAGGGGGTTAAAAAAATTTTCAAGAAATAATAATAATAAATACTATTATATTAATATTTTAAAAGGTGGGCAATTTAGTAATCTATATAACATATCCACCTAGGGCTGTTATCAAGCCGAGCCGAGCCGAGTTTTTGGCTTAATGAGCTCGGCTCGTGAGAGGGGAGGAGAAATCGAGTTCGAGCCGAGTCGAGCCGAGCCTCTGATTTTCTGGCTCGGTTCGGCTCGTGGAGGGAGGAGGGGAATTCGAGCCTGGTTCGCGAGCCGGCTTAACGAGCCAAGTTCGAGCCAGCTCACGAGCCGATAAAAAACAATTTTTTTTAAAAAAAAATTAAGAGCAAATTTCAATATTTTTGAATTCAAAATACCCTTTGTTTTTTTGTACGCATGTAGTAAAAAAACCAATGGTCAATAAAATGCATCTCTTATATTATCTCATTTGGCTTGAAACTCACGCAGGCTCACATTCCAATAACTTTTTCGTGCAAATTACTCATGCAGGCTGTAGCTTTACAAATGTGAAATGTCACTTCTTTTAAGCTAAAGTCTAAAACAGCCCTAACTCTTATCAGATCTGCTAGCAATATCACACACATACCTTTACAAGCCAACACCTTCAGCAACCTTGACGATGGCGATGGCGACAACGAGATGGGTTTGATAGTGACAAAACAAAAGGAAAACATGAAGCGTCCAAACGTCGACGAGATTTGAAGGGATAGATACAACAAGTATGCGATAACACAACGACGAAGCATATGGGTTTGAGTCGTTTGACGATGATGAGGAAAGACACCGGAGCAACTGAAAAGTTGGTTGAAATTCTTTACTCGTTTTGGTTTTACAGCAAACAGTGGTGGAGTCGCGTTTTTAGGGATTTCAAAATGGGGGGATCTTTGTCATTTTTGCAAACCTTTTTCTTTGAAAATTTTAGTTTGACGATGATGAGGAAAGACACCGGAGCAACTGAAAAGTTGGTTGAAATTCTTTACTCGTTTTGGTTTTACAGCAAACAGTGGTGGAGTCGCGTTTTTAGGGATTTCAAAATGGGGGGATCTTTGTCATTTTTGCAAAACCTTTTTCTTTGAAAATTTTAGTTTAATCCTCCATACTATAAAAAACCCCTAATATGCCCCTATGAATTCGAGCCGAATGCGGCTCGCAAGCCTAACGAGCTGAGCCTAGTTAGGCTCGAACTCGGCTCGTTCCCTCTAACGAATCGAGCCGAGCCGGCTCGAATACAGTCGAGTCGAGCCGTTAATGAGCCAGACTCGAGTCGAGTCGAGCCAGCTCGTGAGCTGCTCGATTTGTTAAACAGTCCTATACCCACCCATTTATCCTCCCAACCAAACATATTATTTACCAATTTATTCGAAATAAACATTCTCGGTAATCTTCAAGGTGATCTTTCTTTTCGTTAATATAATATATTCTTATAATAAAACATTATATGATCTAAACACCCGCTTAGAGCTGGTTAAGGACCGATCCCAAATAGGCCCGAGCCTGGGCCTGTTTGGGACTGGTGGCATTTGGGACCAATCGCTGATGGGCCTGGGACCGGTCATAGGCCCATGAGCAATTTTAGGACCCAAACCGGTCCTATGGGCTTGCAAAATTTTATTTTCCCCATATATTTTTTTAT